AGATTGTTTTGATGTGACGTCATAGTGAAATAGGGCAATTCCTGGTTGGGGTAGTTTTTATCAAAGTGACGTAGCTTTAGACGATATCACGTTTGACGTCCAGCTACTTCAGGACAAACTACAGAAAGACCTACTTCTCAAAAACTTACTTCTGAAACTTCCTCAACACCTCGTCCAACTACAACGGGACAAACTACTGGAAAACCTACTACTCCGAAAATTACTTCGGGGAGCACCTCTAGAGCTCTTCCAACTGCGACAGGACAAACCACTAAAAGACCTACTACTGGAAGCCCATCTACTATCCAACGACCGCAGGTCCTTACACGACACCACCTACAACTGCATTTTCTTCAACTACTGAGTATTCAACTGTCGCAACCACTAGACTTCCAACTACCCCAGGTACGTCTATAATTTCAAATTTTTTAAAACAAAGGTAATGTTTGATAGCTAAACATACACTTTCACTTTAGGTCAAGGTGATGATTGCAATTTTGAKCAAAATTTCTGCTGCTGGACAAATGGTGGAGGTACCAACATGTTAACATGGTCACGAAACCATCAAATCGGCCATTGTGGCTGGCCGATTCTACAGGATTTTAGCTATGTGAGAATGTAAGAAAAGATGGCGGGTTTGGATAGTTTTTTGGTGATAACATTATTARTATATATTTAAAGTAGATTTTTGCTATTAACTCGCAAAGAAGAGAAAAAATATGGTATTTTTTGCACTACGATGTGAAGACCTACGAAGTGTTTAGTCATATTTCGCTGGCTGTATGACCTCAAAACATGCCATATTTTTCATCTTCCTGGCGAATGCAGCAAAAATCTACTTAAGATATCTATTAAAAGAATATTTCTTGCAAGAAAAATGCATTTTTCAAGAATGAAGTTGAGAAATATTTGAAATTTTTCGACAAGAAGATATCTACTAAGAATATATTTCTTGCAAGAAAAGGGGATTTTTATAGATATTTAGTGCGCTAACTTAACTTTTACCTCATCTTTACAGCGTTCGCTTAGATCGCTCATTCACTGTGATGATCAACACATCTATCATTACCTTTTATCGCCAAAAAAACTACCCGAATCCGCCATCTTTTTTTACATTCTCGCATAGCTAAAATCCTCTGTAGAATGCCAGCCACAATGGCCGATTTGATCACGTGACCTCTAATTGCAAGTCGCCCATTATTAATTATCAAAAAAGGCTTCGATTAAAAATGATTGTCGTTCAGTAAGGGGGCAAGCTAAGGCGTTTAATATTTATTTTTCTATTATGCATACACTGTAGCAACACTGGTATGAATAAATCAATTGAAATAGAGTAGCAAATAGTCTTCCGCCAGCGTATTGAAACATTTTCCAGGTTGGGTGGTGCTAATCAAACTTCTACCTTAGTCAGTAAGGTTTTCCCGCCCTTTTGTATTCGCAGCATAAATTTCTACTATCACATGTATGGAACAGCTATGGGCACCCTTAACGTCTACATTCCAAACATCGATATACACCTAATTGTAAAAACGTTGTCGGGTTCAAAAAAAGGTTATATCATCAAAGCTAAGACCGAAGGGGAGCATGGGAAGACAAACGATTATGCTAATTTCATGCGTATTGCAGTTTTCCCTTCCTGTGCACATTTTATGCATCATGGCTTTGGCATGTTGTTAATCTAGGTCCACCGACTTTGATCTACTGTGCATTTTTACATGTCCATATGCAAATATAATACACATTTCGGAGTACCCAAAATCCTTTTCGGTCTTAGCTTCGATGATATGACCTTCTAGAACCCGACTACGTTTTTTCAATTAGGTGTAAATAAGCAACATAAGATATTCACAAAGACTGGTAACCAAAGCAACCAGTGGCATAGTGCAATGGTTTCGTTCAGGAGCAGTTATAAGCACAAGGTGAGTTTTTGGTTGTTCAGTAGAGAATGTCCCATGGTAAATTGAAATATTCATTGCAAAATATGGCGAAACAATTCGTGAACCACGTTGTGCAAATGAAAAGCCCATCATCGTTTCACGTTCACCAATTTGTTGCAAAGAAATAGTTGGAGAGGGCATCAATTTTTGTGCACCAAATCATAGTATTGATATCAGGTCTTTGTTCGCTTTTGGTGTTGAACCATGCACAATGTTTGATTTATGTTCATCCGAAATTGCAAAATAAGTAAACATAAACTTTGTCTATGGGATTGCTGTAATATTGTAAGGAATATTCAAGAATATCACTTATAGATCTTTAAGTATTTCGAACTACCAGCCAAAAGAAAGATTTTGTTCTGTTCACTCAGCCATTGCCAACAATGGTAAAAC